GATGTACAACACTGTAATGTACATACTAGAATTTTACCCTACACCTTCGTCAACTCTTTACCATTATTGACTAGTGAAACTAATCCAAATTTGTTCTCTAAGACCATCTTGAATTTCAATTCTTTGAATCTAACATGGGTGTTTATTTTTTTAGGAAATATAATTTAGAAGCATCCTCTTGAAGATTATAGGCCTTACTAAAAAATTCCTCGGATACCTTAATTCTAAATTTGTTAATAAAAATGGATATTGTACCATGGATATTCTTGAGGAGTATCCTTATAACATTATAACTGATGCTCACACTTCAAACTAAGATTTCTCCATCTCAAGATATAATCTACCAAATTTTAACCATGTTTCAATTTCTCAATCACTAGATCCCCAACAATTACATGATATCTAGCTCCAACAATCTTTTTTAATGAACAAATTTTCTAATTCAATAAAGGTACAAAAAAGCCCGTTAAGCAACTTTGCATACCAGTCAAATGCAACTTCTAGGATTGTAATAAATGGCTCCAAAACGTGCTAGATTTTATTTATGATTACCTATGGAAACAAATAGTTTTGGATACAAAACTAAATCATATTCTTTCAAGTATAACCTACACCTTATAATAGATAAAGTTCATAGGATTCTGCTAACATCTCTTTAACCTATTATTCTACTAGTTTCTTTATATTTCCAGACTAGACAAATTCTCTTTCTAATCTTACTTCATTTTCCTCTTCATCTTTAAAATTCTCGTTTTTAACTATTTTGTTGAACATATTCAAGTATTCAGGACTCGGCTTATACTATTGGTGAAGGAGAGTCTATATTCTATAATGCATTTATGGTGGCCATCATTTAGCCCATCTTCTTCTCCACTCTAGTAATCTATTCCTCCTCCTGATTTAATTGGATGTTTGGTAACCTCAACATTTAGAAGATTGGTTTTAGATTTATCCTTGTCCTTTTGAGTTAATGTCCTGGTGTCTACAACACAAAATGCACCAAACATCTCATTATGATGACATATAGTTGCTAATTCAATAGACTCCTCTTTTATCCTTCAGAAACTATCGTTCATCTCATTCATTATTCCTTATATTAATTTTACTGATAAATAATGTAGGTCAGTTAGGGTATAATCTCAATCTTGAATAGGCTTCATAGGAATTTACCTTTAGCTCTGCTTCATTTCTACACTACACTTTATTTAGTCTTGATTACTGCTGATGAAGTGGCTACAATTTTATACCACCAAACCTTCTCGTCATTTGAAGTTGGGGTTAAAATATTTACAAAGTTGAGCCTCCACACATTAGGGTGAGAAGATGATTGGCTAACTTCTAAAGGGTGCATGTAGGCTCTCAGTGATTAATTTATCAAAGAGCGATATGATATTTTAATTGGTTTATTTTTTAATGTATGTAATATAGGTAGTAATGAAAGGTTATAAGTTGGAAAAGATGAGCTCCTAAATCTATTTAACTTTTCTGGAAGTTTTTCACATTAGCCATTAGCTAATGGTGCACTATCACTACCTTTAATAAACTTCTTCCAAATAGGTTCAAAGAACACTTCTTTCGTTAGCAACTCTAACTCTATTCTTTCAGTAACGTGTCCTTTAACACTTCTCAATATTTTTTTATTTGGATTTCCTTTAGTTGAAGACACACTTCTAGACAAGTCCTTTAAGTAAGATTTTAAACTTCCTCTTCTTTAAAAAATAAGGAAGGGATAACAAGTTTATTGTGGAATGAGGGTGGTGGGGAGTTAGAAATTCTTCTAATGCTCTACACTCCAACAACAACATAGAGTGGATTAAAATGACTTTGTCCCAACTAGGGTGAGGTCATAGAAATTTATTTTGCTATACACTCCTATATAGTAGTTAAACATAGTTCCTCTTACAATAATTTTAATTTTTTAGCTCTCTACCTCGGATGGCAGTTCATATTTCTTTACTGAGGTTTTTTCTTCTATAAAAGAGTAGAAGGTGGCCCAACCTTAAAAGTCTTAGTGATAGGAAGATCAAGTTGAATCATATACATAATTTTTTTTGTTGAAAATATGCTTGGGGAATTTAATCCATGAGAACATCAAAGTTTTGTGGCTACGAAGGAAGACCCAAACCATCCCTTATGCAGTGAAATCATGGGTAGGTTTCTTATCATAAATTCTTTCAAACATGAATGCAATAAATTGAGAATCATATACTATCATTTCAAGGTATTCAAATAAAAACCCAAACTTTATTAGACTACATGTGAGAATCTGAGATAGTTTTTTTTTTTTTTTGAATGAAATGCAAAATTGCATTAGAACTTAAAAAAAAACAAAGAAGTTATTACAACTTATTCAAATCTAACGAATCAATTTCGTCCTTCAAAATTTGAAAGAATGAAGGAGGAATTTCAATGTTTGTTAGATCATGCTAAATAAAATTTTGCTTAAAGCAAAATTAGCGTAACAATCCACTAATTTATTACCATTTCTAGTAATAAAACTAAAAGATAATTAAAATCTTTAAAGAAAGATAACTTATCTTCAATTATTCATTTCTTCTTTAAATTCTTCAAAGCTTGTTGAAGAGTCTTGATGATAATGATGTTTTCTCCTTCAATTATTACTCCTTATGCTTCCACCATTCAATCTTGTATGACATCTTTTATCATGAATACCACTTGCAGTTCCAGATTACCGATATCCCAATGTACATATTGATTTCCAAATGCAAGTAACATCATTCGTTTATCATCTCTACATACTCCAGCAGCTCTGGCAGAGTAATTGCTGTTTAATGATGCATCCACATTGATTTTTATCCAACCGGGTGGAGGAGGATGCCAAGAAGAATACAGCTTATGCTGATTGACATCCCAGTTGTCCGTTTGGATATTTATTGCCGGTGTTACAATAGCCATAGATATAGAATTGACTGCAATTAATAAATCTGATTCTTCTCTGCCTTCATGAATCAACAGATTTCTACTTTTCCATACAAGAAAAACTGCAGTGCAATAAATATTTACAATCAATGGATTCTTACTTGATAGCTTCTCCAATTCTTTTAAACAAATAGTGAAGCACTCAAATTGTGGTACTTGAAATCCCCACTTATTGAGCCAAACAATAACCCTCTTCAATTTGCTACACTCTCCAGCTATATGACTATTATCTTCCTCTTTATCACATCCTCTCAGACATCTGCTACAATAAATCATTCTTCTGTGTAAAAGGAAAGAGAAGCTTGGGATCGCCTCCTTATGCAGTCTCCACCATAATAGCTCTACCCTTGGCCTAAGCTTTACTTTCTTCAACCATTTCCAAAATTCACAATTTGCATCATCTTTAAAAATTGAATCCTAAGAGATTGCTGCCATAGAACGACCAGTAGCTTTCCATTTCAATTGCATTAGATCCGATCCTTGGTCTTTATAGATAGGATATTGTAATATGAGTTCAATTAATTCCCTACCAAAGAACATTTGTAGATGCTCCATGTTCCATTTGCCATCCAACAAAAAGAAGTTCAGATTGTAATTGCAGATTTCCATGTTGCTTACAAAAGTTCGCCATTTGGATATATTTCAATTCAATATCCAAGCATCATCCATCCAGTTAATTGAATTCCCAATGAAGATTCTCCATCTCACAATATTTTTAAGATATTTAGCTCCATTACACAATATTTTCCAAGTAGAAGAGCTCCTTTTCTTCCCCTGATTCTTCCATATTTAGCTTTTAGGATAATATTGAGAAAGGATTCTGGCTTCATATAGAAATCACATGCAAACTTGGCCCTTAGATGTCCCACTTTAGCAACAACTGAAAAAAGACCTCTCCCTCCTTTTTGTTTTGGTTTACATAGCTTCTTACAAGAAACATAATGTAATCTCAAATCTCCATTTTTCTTATTCCACAAGAAAGCTCTGCACATTTTATCAAACTCCTTTAAGATCCCCAAAGGCACCAAGGATAGTGTTGATAAGAAAATTGGAAGAGATAAGAAAGCTGATTTTAACAAGACCATTTTACCTTCAAATGAGATAAAATTCTTTCCCCAAATATTTAGCTTATTTAAAGAAACTTCCATGAGTTTGTTGAAGTCAGAGCTTACCACCCTCCTTAATGCAAGCGTTATGCCAAGATAGTTCATTTCTTTAACAGAACTAAACTTCAATTCATTTTCAATTTCTTTCTTCCTCCTTTGGGTCATTGTTTTACCGAACACCGTCATAGATTTTTTTAAATTCACCGGTCCATTTGCAATAGTTATTCAAAAACTTTTTAACTCTTTTGATCTTCTTCAAGTTGGCTTGAGAGAATACTAGAATGTCATCCGCATAAAGTAAATGAGACACTCTAGGTGCTTTAGAAATAATTTGAATACCCATTCTCCTTCCACTTTGATAAAAAGCATCCGATAAGATTTGGGAACATAATATAAAAAGAAATGGGGATAATGGACATCCTTGTCTAAACCCACTCCTAGCTTCAATCCAATTCAATTTTTTCCCATTGATCAATAAGCAAAATTTTGGATCTAAAATACAATTCATGATTAAATTCAAAAATTTGCTAGGGAATTTAAAGTGAAGAAGAACTTGCCTCAAAACTTTCCACCCCATGCTATCATATGCCTATTCCATATCAACTTTAATGGCCAAAAATCCTTTCTTAGCTTTAGAGTGTCGGATTTTGTTGAACACCTCTTGAGCCAAGAGAACATGATCTGACAATGATCTACCTTTTAAGAAAGCCCCTTGATCATTCGAAATAATTTTGTGGATTACCATCTACAATCTGTTCGTCAACAATTTAGTTACTAATTTATAAGTAGTCATGCATAGGCTAATTGGACGGAAGTTTGATGGATAAATTGGATTTTGCACTTTATGAATTAACACTATCAACGTCTCCTTCCATTTGTGATTCATTTTTCCTATTTTGAAAAACATATCAATAGCATTCCAAACATCATTATGAATTACCTTCTAGAAGCATTTTATAAAAGAGAATGTAATTCCATCCAGGCCTGGTGAAATATTCTTCCCAATTTGTCCACCATAACTTGAAGCTCCTCCTTGGAAAAATCTGCATCAAGTTTGAGTTGATCCTCTCTATCCAAAACAGCAAACGGTTTTGGCCACCCTTCCACCATACAGGTTATGTGTCTCCATTTAGCTTTGAAAAAATTTGAAAAAATACTTTCAATCTCATTGAGCTGATCCGTGAGTACACCATCTTCATTTTTAACATGATTGATCCAGTTAGAGCTCCTTCTAGCATTTACAAAGGAATGAAAGAAAGCTGAATTTGAATCACCTTCCTCCAACCACCTAGCCTTGGCTCTTTGCCTCCACCAAATATTCAATCTTGCCAAAGTACAATTTAATTCATTTACCATTTTCTTGAGTAGCAACAGCTTTGCCTCATTGAGCATTTCCTCAGCTTCTTCTAGTTGTAAATCATAGATTTCTTTCTTTAATGAATCTCTTAACACATTTAAACTCTTAAATTTTACATTGCTCCAGTAGAATAAGACCTGTAAAGTTCTTTTAAACTTCAAGTTCAGTGAAATGGCTGGATCATTCCCTCTCCCCTTCTTCCAAGTATTTTCTACAATAGCAAAAGCCCCATGACAGGTAGCCCACACATCTTCAAAATCAAAACTTTTGTAGTGAGACTCCACCGATTTGAACACCTCCAAAACAATTGGACAGTGGTCCAAAGCTATATGAGACAAATGCTTCACCACAGCAAGATGGATAGAATTCATTGCAAAAGAATTAATAAGACATCTATCCAATCTTTTTAATATACGGCATCCCCCTTCTTTGTTGTTACACCAAGTAAATTTGGATCCAACAAACCCAACTTCACGGAAGTCGTTGTTGCTCATAAACATCTTCATATCTTTTGCTCCTTGAGAGAACACAAATTTCTTGCCTCCTCTCTTCTCCTCTTGTGATAGAATACAGTTAAAATCTCCCCCAATAACTGATGGTTTATTATCAGCATATACTTTTTCCAAAATCTCCCATAGAGATTTTCTCTCCGTCATACTCCTACTTCCATATACTGTGGAAACTATCCAACATCCTCTATTTACAATTTCCAGATTCCCAATGATGACTTATGAAGAAACTTCCACCACTGAAAAAGAAGCCAACTCCTTCATCCAAAGCACCAAAATTCATTCAGAAAGGCCCTTAGAAGGAACCATAAATGATTCCCAATTGTCTCCCAAAAACTTCAAAATCTATAGATTCTCCAAAGAACTAACTTTGATTTCAACAAGTCCCACAAAAAAACATTATTTTCTCTTACAAACTCTTTAAGATAAAGAATGGCCTCTCTCTTTTTGGTCCCTCTACAATTCCAAAAGGATAAATAAGTCATTGTTTAAAAAGGGGGGAAGGGTCCCCACCCTTTCTGCTTCTACCAATCTCTAACTTCCTATTATGATTAACAACATTACCAGACCCCAGGGATTTCAATTCTTTGAGCAGCATTAATTTCTTTCCTGAAGAAGATTTTCCATACTTTTAATTTCCATGAAAGCATCCTTACTCAGCCCTTCTGCTACCATCTTCAGCTCTTGGTCGCCATAACAACTATTTCAGAAATAGTTGTATCCAGAACAGTAAGTATTTATGCTTCTTCTACTTCATTATCAACCTTTTCCTCCACATACTCATTCAAGATATTGTCTTCTATTTCACATAGAATATCGAATTTATTCAGAGTAGGGACACTCACGTTTGAAACTGAAACCTGAGCCTTTTCATTTCCAATTTCAGTTATTTTTGCAATAGCCAAATCCTCTTCCTACTATACCCAATCAATCTCTTCTATATTAGAATTATCCTGGACTGGCTTCAAGACTTGATTAGGTAAAGCTTGAACATCTTCCAATACTGAAGAATTCTGTTTCTTTGGAACAAAAACCTTTTTTGTGGAACAAAAACTTTTTTTGTGGAACAAAAACTTTTTTTGTAGAAGTTCTTTGTTTATTATCTCTTCCACCAAATCTTCCATTGCTTCCAGAAAACTTCTTACCATAGTTAACTTGAATCCATGGCCCATAGCTATTTTCATCACCTTGCTGGCTTAAGCTTCCATTTTCCATTGATTTTAATTGATCTTGAACATTCCTGACCAAATCAGGAACAATATCGAAAGTTACCTTCTTTTCTATAGATTTCATACAATCTGCTATGGTGTGACCAATGAAACCACATTCATAACACAACTTTGAAATGCCTACATAAATGATTTTCTAAAAAAAAATTTCCAGTTAATCCTTCCACCCATACCCCAAGGGGTAATTTCTCATTCAGGGGAACACGAACATCTGCCCCATCAATCTGCTATGGTGTGACCAATGAAACCACATTCATAACACAACTTTGAAATGCCTACATAAATGATTTTCTAAAAAAAAATTTCCAGTTAATCCTTCCACCCATACCCCAAGGGGTAATTTCTCAAACTCTTCCGTATTCTCTTCTGCCCCATTGAAACATGTTCCCGTCAAGCAAGTATGGCTTTCCCACCTTCGATGCAATCCTGCAAATGTTGATATCATCCCAACATTACAAAGGTAAATTTGGTAGTCTTATCCATAAGGGAGCTGAAATCCCCTTCAAAGAACTTGGAGAAAACATTGGAGACCATTTATCCAAACCCACCACATGGCCATTAACATACCATGAACCTCCTGTAAAAACTTCTTCCATAGATGTTGTATTTTCAAATGAGCAAAGCACCCATCCAGTGCCTAAGCCCGTTATATGAAACTTCCCAAATCTGCTCCATTTCTTTCTAAGTTCAATACATACTGAAGAAAATAGTATGTTCTTACCAAATACTTTCACCACAAGAGCACAGTGAAGTTTTTTGGCATTGGTAATTTCATTTTCTGCGTGAAGCTGAATAGTTCTTCAAACCTCGAATAAGAAGGATCTCAAATCTAAATTATCCACCCTTATGTTTTGTTTCTTCGTCCATGCAGAAGATCCTACCTTTTTGTTAAAATCATCATTAGAAATTCATCATTAGAAATGCTGATACCTTTATCCAAGTTTTCCTATATATCAACCAACAGAAGAAAATCTTCATTCACCTTGTTCACATTAGCTTTTTTGTTTTCCACCGAACCTGAATCAATAATTTAACAAGAAATTGGTGAGGTTGGGAGAGATGTTGATTTAAATCCTCTAATAGAATTGCACTTCTTTCCAGTCGACGTGGAAGGTTCCACATTTATATTCTCCGTCATCTCTTTGAACCTAACTGTTGATTTAAACTTCTTCAAGCTAAGAAATTCTTCTTCTTTGATAACCTCGTTGCCTTTTCCAAACACCACTGGCACAACTCTGTTGTTCAACAGTCCTACTGCTTTGATCAACAATGGCTTCTCCTTGAATTGATTATTGATTGTTGTAGCAGTCCTCTGTCCTCCATTAAAAACCTCCGAAGAAGGTCGCACCAGAGTGTTGAGACCTCTATGGATATTCGCCCAGGCTTCAGACGACGCCAGGCACTTCCCCTCCATCACCGTCAGCAAGTTCCGCCGGCAAGACAACGGAGAACGACAAGCCAAAATAGCCGCAAAATCCACGAAAGGAGAAAAAAATTTGAAAAAAACAACATATTTTTTTAAATCAGCCAATCTGAGATAGGTTGAAGGTAATATTTAGACAGAGGAAGCTAAAATAAGCTAGTTGGTCATATTTCTAAAATCAAACCAAAACTCTATAAGAATTTTCTTGAACTCACTAGCTTTAGATGAGAAATTTAGGTGTGGAGAAACACTAAATTGAATTTACAAAATCTCCAAGATAGGATTTATGAATGGAGCAAGCATTTGGAATTAAAAATTGATTTTGAATTATCAATAACTTGTCTAAAAATTAATACCAATCTACATGGAGAAATGTAGCTACCAAGCATTATTCAGAACTAGGAGATGATTGAATAAATCTATTGATGCTGACAAGTTTAATTTTGGCTAAATTTAATATATAATTGGCCAATAATTTAATGTTGATCACATCCATTCAAGGGAGAAAAGAATCAATTGTGTAGTATAATGAAGGTACTTTAAACATATTTCTAAAGCAAGGATGCTATTGATCAAAAGTTTCAGTACCATTAGAGATAGAGAGAAGAAATAATCTTTAGTGAAATCATAAAAAATCTATGGACAAAAAAATATTGTACCATTTGATTTGCAAATTATATTCCTATAGTCAAAACTTTATAGCTAACAATATACTATCTCGAAAGATAGAATTATGTTTCACTATCATTTTGAAAATATAAAAGAAATTTATTTTCATAATCAAACTCAGCATAAAGAATTTACTATTCCTATCAAAGATAAAAAAAAATATTCAGCTATCATTTTGATAATGAAATTAATAATTAATAAAACTTTATCTATAGCCATATAATTTTCCTTTATATCACTTAACCAAAAGTAGGGTTTTTTTTATTGGGTTCTACATTCACCATAGAGGTAAGCCTTTATGGTTAATTCTATCCCAAGATGGATCTTAAGAAAACTCTCAATTAAAGTAATGCATAAAGTTCTTTAGATTTACAAAGTTTTGCGTGCAAAGACTTAAATGTTGGGTTTATAAATTGGTAAAACATAAGGTTTTGACACATATTTATAGAATCAAAGGATGAAAGGTTGAGAGTTCTTTAGATTCTAAATAACCTAGAAACACTCTTAATTTATTCTATATATTGCATTTTCCAGTACAAATGAGGATTGAATTTTAAGGTTTATGTTATCAATTTATTATAGTTCTAATTTATTAGAAATACTCTTAGAAGTAAATGTAAGAATTAAGAAAAATGCAAATTGGACTTATGTCTCCATGGAGTTAATAGCCAGCTACCAACCTAGGTGCTTTTATAAAACCATGATTTTGAGGTTTGATGTATTTATGTTAACAAGACTTTTTTTTAAGTAGGAATCAAGGTTTAAAGTTCAGAATTCAAAATTAGGATTTAAAGATGTCAATGGTTCAAATGCACCTAATTAACACATTATGAAGAAAGCATTCCTTGACTCTAAAACTTTTATATAGAATAATGCAAATTAATATTTATAGCCTTCTAAGAAATATTTTGCAGCATAACATCCCTATATAAATAATAATAGTGGACTCATCCTCATTGCTTGGGATGTTGTCTGCTTTCCATAGGCTTGTTTGTATTTTTTTATTTATATTGCAGGAAAAAATAAAACTCATGCCATATAAGTGGATAGTAAAAGATGTTGGGTTGTAAAAGTATAAATAACATAGAATCGTAGGACAATAATATGAATTTTAAGGAAAAAACACATGCAACTCTAAGAAGCCTTGGAAAAAGAACAAAATTTCTAATCGCAAACATATAGAATCTAATAGGAAATGAAGGTAAATATAAATAAGAGTAATGAAAGAAAGTCTTTGGGAATTTGCACATAAAATACAAACTAAGGCTTAAGATAAATTAAAGTTGTCCAATATATATATATATATATATATATATATATATATCATCTACATCATCATAGGCTATAACAAAAGTGTAATGAAAAGTAAAACCTTACATCAGTGCTAAATATCCAACAAGATAATATTAAACCATAATGACGTGCAGGAAGGTAAAAATATACACATCATAACCTAAGCTTGAGATGGTCATCCAAGAAAGTAATTCTAACATATGTGTTAAGTTGTGTGGCTTGAATGTACCCTAAATGGATTTAGGAGTTATTTACAAGTTAACCTTATGAGTTGCCAACTAAAGTGATTTAGTTTGAGTTTAAGTTTTATTGCTTTATAGTTTATTTATATCTTTTATTTACTCTAAGTATTTAAGAATCATGTTAATTAATAACTTCAATGTTCTTTGGAGTCATTAATTAATTAGTCCTAGACTTCAAAGGGGATGTATTTTTTTCATTCAATAGCATAAAGCAAAACACATAAAGTCCTCATTTTATCTATAGAATTTATTTACTTTAGTTTTTCAGGAACCATATTAATTAATAACTTC